TCTCTCCTTTTAGCCAATGGAGTTGGTGACATGTGTGAGACAGACTTTGACAACGATAAGGTGAATGACTTGTTGGATGCGTGTCCTGAAAACGCTGAGGTCACTATGACAGATTTCAGGGCATTCCAGACAGTCATTCTTGACCCCGAAGGAGATACTCAGATCGACCCCAATTGGCTGGTACTAAATAAGGTGATCATTCATTAAAATGGCTTTTTGATCGGCTAGTCTCTGAGCTTTTTTGTAGACAGGGTCTTTAAAGTATTATGAAAACAACTTTGGTGTTTTTTTCTTAGGGAATGGAGATTGTGCAGACCATGAATAGTGACCCTGGTTTGGCTGTGGGTATGTAAACTGAACAAAAATTAGTGTAAGGCCTACTTTATAACAATTTATACTAGTAAAAGTCACAAATAATGAAAAAGAAATCACAAAAATTTGAAGTAGTAGGCCTATTTTCTTGTAAAAACAACTTGTTTTATGTAAAAATAAATGTTTTTACAGTGTACATAAAACATTTTCAATCAGCTATAAAATCAGTTACTTTTACAGTTCATTTACCTCACATTCAACAGATTAATTGACATTTCTGTCTCTTTATTTTTTATTTAGGTTACATAGCATTTAATGGTGTTGATTTTGAGGGCACGATCCATGTGAACACGGCCACTGATGATGATTACGTGGGCTTCATCTTCGGCTATCAGGACTCTTCCAGCTTCTATGTGGTGATGTGGAAACAGATCGAACAGACGTACTGGCAGAATTTACCCTTTAAAGCCTCAGCTCAGCCTGGACTACAGCTTAAGGTAAAGTCAATTTAACATATGCATTAAAATTAGGGCTGTCAATTGATATGTAACTGAATTATGCACTTCTTTTCAACTAAAAATTCAACTTTTTCTGTACTTCTCAGAAATATACTTAAAATTACACGCAGGTATACTTGAATTATAAATGTCTAAGTATATTTAGCCTATACTTGTAGATATACTTAAAAGTATAATTAAGTATACTTGGTGTTTACTCTTTTGATTGAGGAACCTATTAATTAGTATTTTCTCATAGTTTTACATTGTTTAAAAAATATTGATTTAAAAAGAAGAAAACAGATATGTTCCTAATTCTGAGTATTACATTTGTTTTTGTCCACTAGCATAGGAATTGCTTCAGATTGTCTTAAAATACAGTGAGAAGTATAATTAAAGTATAAAAATGAATACCGAAATAGAAATATAGTAGTATACGTAAAGTTTAAAAATGATATATAAATAGTATATACTATACGATGTATTATGTTAAGTTCACTTAAAGTATAATTTGTGTATAAAACTACTAAGAAATGTGATACAAGTATTTGACAAGTAATCAGTGCACCGATAAGTTCATTTGTAGTATAGTTTCAGTACAAATGAAAAATGCAGTTGATATATATATATATATATATATATATATATATATATAATTTAAATTATACACAGTGCACCAACATATATTATGTAAACACAAACCTTTATTTTGGATGCGATTAATCGTGAGACAGCTCTATTATTGATATTGAAAACAGTTGCGCTGCATTTTTTTTCAGGATTCTTTGATGAAAGAAAGTTCAAAAGAACAGCATTTATTTGACAATTTAATCAATTTAATACATCCTTGCTAATTAAAAGTATTAATTTCTTTCTAAAAATCTCACTGACTGGAAACTTTTAAAGGTATACTCCACTTTTTTTGGAAATAGGCTCATTTTACCACTCCCCCAGAGTGGTACATTTTTTTTTATTTTTGTATTTTTTATTTTTTTGATATTTTGAAGAATATCAGTAAACAGACAGTTTCTGGTCTCATTGACATCCATAGTAGGAACAAAACTATGGAAGTCAATGAGACCAGAAACTGTCTGGTTTCTGATATTCTTCTAAATATCAGAAAATCGGCTGAATGCATTCGAAAACGGTAAAACCCAACTGTTTAACTCTGGGGGAGTGGTAAAATAAGCCTATTTCCATAAAAAGTGGAGTATCCCTTTAAACAGTAGTGCATATATTCATTTTTCAATACCTTTTATTAACATTACTCAGAAATGCCTCTGTCTCTTTTTGCCTCACTCCTCCAGGCAGTGAAGTCTCGTACAGGCCCTGGTGAGTATCTGCGTAATGCCCTGTGGCACACAGGAGACACGTCAGGGGAAGTCACTTTGCTTTGGAAGGACCCGAGAAATGTGGGTTGGAAGGACAGAACGTCCTATCGCTGGCACCTCACCCACCGCCCACAGGTGGGCTACATAAGGTGAGGGCTGATCTGATTTGACTTTAAAAGATACACAAAAAAGGTTTCTATGAATGAGGACTCACACAAGCATATCTCTTACTATTAGAACTTGAAATATTTCGTTTTGTAGAGTCTGACTGGGTTCTCTATATCATTGGGACAGATTAAGACTGTATGAAGGTACAGTCCTGGTGGCAGATTCAGGAGTCGTGATAGACACCACTATGAGAGGAGGGCGTTTGGGCGTCTTCTGCTTCTCCCAGGAGAACGTCATATGGTCTCATCTCGGATATAGATGCAATGGTAAGTAAAATTCATTCTAAAATGAATCTCAGTATCTGAGGGCCAATTTGAAAATGTTATATGTATAAAAATGGAATTGTAATGGTTCAGTGTGCTTCAATTTAGTCTCAGAGTGACTGAGAGAGTTTTTTTTTGCACAGATACCATACCTGATGACTTTATGCTGTACCAAAAGCAGATGAATCTGAGGACATAAGCCTCACGCTGCAATCATGACTACATGTGTGTTTGTGTACATGTGTGTGTTCAGAGAGGTAGGAAGAGATTATGATTAAAATGAGTTTTTTATCTTGTGAAATTTTCAGAAATTATCAGAATTATACACTACACGGCACAAGTTTGCATCGTGCACCATCATCTGCGCTTGAAATATGAGTGGTATCTGTGTGCTATTTGGATGAGAATCAGCAAACCTTAAAATGCAAAGGTAATGGAATAAATATCCTAAAGTTTTAAAAGCAATTCTTTAGGTTGTAAATTAAAAAAGGCATTACATTTGACTAAAAAGGTTGACTGTGAATTTGGCGTCTTGCAAACAAACTCTAATAAAAATATCCTTATGACGTTGAACTACATTTAAAAATACACACAGTAGTGTTTCATTATAAAACCCCATAATGTGGTATTAAATTCAGTAATTGTGCTTCTCTAATGGTTTTCCCCGCCTGTTTTTCATCCAAAGAGACTCTGTTGTGAGGTTATTTTGTTCGTTTCAGCACCATGGATAGTGATCTATGTACTTGTTATTCTGTGTGCTGCAAGAATTTAGTGAAGAAAATGATTAAGGACATTATACAAACATGCATAACAGGTGTATTTGTATGATTTATGGCAGACATAAGCCATTTGGTGATGGTTTGGTGTGAGATTGGAAGCCATGGGAGTATAAGCAAGACAAGGGCATGCCAGCAATAAGCTAAACAAATTCACTGTTCTAGCATGTCAAGTTTCAAAACATATTAACAGAATAAAATAAAGCTTTTGTTGACACCAGCCTCAGCAAACGACTCGTTTTTCAAAGTGGGGAACTATGACAGCAAAGAGGATAAAACACCAGCCCACGCAGAAGAAGATCAATGCCTACTTCAACACGGCGGTTTAGCTCCGCCTACCGATTCGCGCATTACACCCATAGCTAAATAACATAGATGCCTACCTCGTGATGACAAACTGGATCGAGCTACTGAGCAATACAGAATATTGTGGTGCTTCCTCTGGATTCCAGTAGGACTACATGGATAAACTTTATTTTTAAAGATGTTCCACTCCAGCAGATGAGGTAAAACATCGTCCGTCTGTTCGCTTCATTTCACTGAGGATTGTTTTGTAAACAAGACTGGATTTGCAGGCCGATTAAGAGTAAAGAACGGTGCTGTGCCGTCTATATTGGATCAGTCAGGAATTGTATGTATGGCCGAATCATTCCGGTTTCCATTTTACAACATTGAACATTTTCAAAACAATTTCCCCCACGTGCACCAACCGGAACCGACGAGTGAGTTGAAACTCATTAGAGTATGCAAAACTGTTATCCACTCACAGCAGTGGCCGTTTACTTCCAAGTCTTCAGTGCGAGACGCCCATAAAAACCCAGCGTTTTTTTTAGCTAGGCTCAAAACTAGGGTAGAAAATAGCCTATTACTGATTCATTTTGATGTTTTTGAATGCAAAAACCAAGCGACGTCATAAGTTGACCTCAGACAATATAATAAAATTTAAAAAGCCACTTCATGACCCCTTTAAGATATGATTGGTAAGATTGATATATATATATATATATATATATATATATATAGATCGGTAAGATTTTTTTATGTTTTTAAAAGAAGTCTCTTCTGCTCACCAAGGCTGCAATTATTTGATAAAAAAAAATAGTAATATTGTGAAAAATTATTACAATTTAAAACAGTGGTTTTCTATGTGAATATATAGTGAAGTGTAATTTATTCCTGTGATCAAAGCTGAATTTACAGCATCAACTCCAGTCTTCAGTGTCACATGATCCCACAGAAATTATTATAATATGATGCTCAAGAAACATTTATGATTATTATCCATGTTGAAAACAGTTTTTTACATTTTTATTTCAGGATTCAGAATTTTTTTTTTTCATCAAATAAAGCAGCCTTGGTGAGCAGAAGAGACTTCATTTAAAAACATAAAAAAATCTTACTGATCTAAAACTTTTGACCGGTAGTGTCTATTTACCGATATCTTTTGCATTTCTAATCCAAACAATGTCAAACTCGCTGCACTTACTCGTGACACTTGTCAAGTTTGAGATCTATCGGACTAACGGTTCGAGAGATATGCGATTAACAGACAAACGTTCCTGTAATTTATAGATAGATTATCAGAGATCACTGACTGAGTTAATCTTATAAAAATCTTTCTTTTTCTGGCGCGCGCACGAGCACGCCCCATTCTTTCCGTGGAGACGAGCACGAGCAGTTTCACTTTCACTTCAGAACAAGGACGGCCGAGTCTTTCTTTGCTATTTTTCACAGGCGAACGTACTATAATCGGCCACAGGTACGTACATTTCGAAGTAGCCCACATCACCAACCGCTGTACATTTATTGTTAAATTACATTGCATTTCCTGTTTCTAATGTCATGTTGGAACGCCAGTTGTAAAATACGTTTTGCTGCTACACTAAGACAACAACAAAGGTATCCAACAACTTTCTGTTTCAGTTATCTTGGGAGTTGTATTTTGCGAATTACGCATAATCTGAGAAGCAACCAGCGCTTGATAGATTCAGTTGCCAGTAGTAACAAAATTTTGCTATGTAAACAAACTCTCTCTCTTAGCAAGCCGTCTATGTATATATTGTTTACTTCTCATCTATTCATTAATGCTGTGTTTTTGGAGATATAAAGTACTTTTGTATCCATACCCCACAATTCCTTAACTACACCGGCATTAGCTTTAGCATTAGCATATGAAAATATATTTTTTTGATGCATTGCATTTATGCTCTAGTACTGTGCCTTCATTTCGGTGTAAAAATTTTCAGATTTATGCCGGATTTTTTATTTATTTATTTTTGACTCATGAAGAAAATATATTTAGTTTTTTTTTTTTTTTTCACATTTCCCATTCATTTCAATCAATGTGGGGTCATATTGAACCCAAAGACCAGAAGTGTAAACATTTTTTTTCATACCTTTTACATAGAACAACCGAATCAAGCCCAGTTTTTGTGTGTATAGATAGATAATGTATGAAAAGTCACAAAATCTTATTCCACTGAGATTAAGGAAACCTTTTTTTTGTTAAGTAAAAGTCGATTGGTGTCGTATAGACCCCATGACCCGATTGATGGCTACGCAGATTTAGTCTTCCAGTTGTGGACAGGGTGCGATTCAGCCAAACATTTTATCTTGTGAGATATCAATGTAAGCTGCAGTAACAAGTTTGTTCCAAAAACAATCTACATTTTACACATATTGGCTCTAGAAAGATACATATTGCTGCTTTTTGTGTTGTAATAAAATTTGTAATGTTCTTCTGCACTTTTGTTTTAAATAGCCATGAATGAAATGGTTATTGAAGTGAACGGGCTCCCGGACAACTACCCCGAAAATATGATGATTGATAAATTAACCATGCACTTTCTGAGGCGCAGTAACAAAGGAGGAGATGTTTTAACAGTGATTTATCCCACCTCCAACAAAGGCCAGGCTTATGTAGTCTTCGAATCAGCTGAAGGTATTGCCTTGATATTTTGTTCATATCTAAGTTTAACATAATATTCCATGGCTAACATTTCTTTATTTTTTTCATTCAATGTCTAAGTACCAGGAGTCTTGCAACACACTCATGTTTTGATTGTGGAGAGTCAGTTTTACTCACTGGATATTAAAAAGGTGCATCATCCTCAGGTAAGACACTTCATCGGTGAACCTCACCGAATCATACAGAATTATTAAAATAACTTACAATTGTATTCAGTATACAGCATTTCTCCAATAATCCATTCACTGCAAATTCCATACCATTGCCATTTGAATATTTATGCACAAACGAAATAAATAACAACACAATAGTGTGATGTGGCAAAGATATCTCCTTAACATGCTTTTGTTCATATTTTCTCAGCTGGATATGCCAGCCGAAGCGTTCCTCGATATGAACTTGTTCTCCAATCACAGCAAAATCCAAGAACTTCTTCATAGCCATGGCTTTCAGATGTCAAAGTCAAGCCCAGGACAGCTGCATTTGCAGGGTTCCTTTCTCAAGCTAAAACTTATTTATCCCAAACTCGTGCAGTTTCTGGCTCTAGAAACCCTCCCTCAAAGAGGAACGCCTTCACATTACACCAACGGCTCTGTTTCCAGAGCTGAAAAAGGTGACTCCAGGCGCAATCATGGCAACTCGGTGTATTCTGAGGGCAGAAGCACATCTTCAGGAATAACCTCAAGATCCCCAGGGTACCAATACTCTCTAATGGATAGAAGCTCCAGCACAGAAAGTCCCTTCAGCAGTCCCTCCAGGATCTATGATGAGCGTAATCCTTCGTCTCCCAGGCAGACTGAGGTTTCCATCCCTGTGGAACTAGATGTGTGGAAATACATAATGCTCTTTAAGGAGGATTTTGTGAATAAAATTAAATCAGATCACCACACTCGTATTAATCACGAAGAAGAATCAGGGGTTGGTATGGTTAAACTCTCGGGAGGAAACTTTAGGGAAACGGCTAAAGAATTGTCTGAATTGATGGAGGAAATCACTGGATCTCTACGCACACAAGAAATAGACCTGAGTGTATTTGACCAAAGTCAGCAGAGAGACATGATTCAGAACACTTACACATTCCAAAAGATTTATAACGTTATAATTAGACTGGAAGGTAACGTTCTAAAAGTAGTTGGGTCATCAAAAAACAGTTATGACGCAAAGCAAAAGCTTCTTGGACTGGATGTTGACATTGCACCACCTAAAGGCATGGAGAGGAACAAATTGCGACGCAGCAGCTCTTTGCCAAGACAAAAAACCAGAGCCAGAATGGAGAACCCAGGCGTGGGTCAGATTCCTGCTGTCAGTAGCTCGTCTGCCTCACATTCCCAGAAGGACTTTCAATCGCAGCGAGAAGTTCAACAGGAGAGAGGTCGCCAGCCCTCTAAATCCACAGCACAACACCGGTCACAGAGCAGCTCTCGAATACAACACAAAAATCTAAACCAAGAACCTTCAACTTATGTTCAGAAGCAGGATTTGACACCCTCTAGTGGAGTTCAGACATCTAGGGTCAATTCCTACAAGGGTCAAGGGTCAATTCCTACATTTAAAGCTCCTCTAATGCCTGAAAAAAAAAAAAGCATTTTAAAAAAAATCCGGAATTCATTACATCAGTAATTACGCATATAAAACCCTCGTTGAAAAACACACTTTAAGAACACACTTTTTAGAATTAAATTGGTCAGACACTTAAGAAAGTGATGGGGCTGCTCTGTACTGATGGTTTTATTTCTAATCACATGTATTCACATAAATATTCGGGGTTCAGTACAAAATCGACAATTATGCAATTGTGTCATACCATAAAAGTTTATTTCAACTTCTTTTCTAAAAAAAAAAATCTTCAAATGGAAGTGAATGCGGTTCACTATTTCAGTATAACTACAAAACATAAATAAAACATTGCTTACCACATTGCAGATAATAATAATTCATAATAGAATAAATAAGTTCAATGCATTTATGCATGTTTTTTTTTTCAGTGCATTAAAAATAAATAGCTTTACATCTGCTTTTAAACCTTCCAAAAATGGGGCCCATTCACCTTCACTGTAAGTAATATATACATACATACAAAATATATACAAATAAGACAACTTGTGATGTATGTATGAATCAGGTTTTTTTTGTGTGTGTGTGTGTGTGTGTGTGTGGACAACATTATGTCACAATTTATGCATTCACCAATCATTAGGGTTTGGTTTTGGGATAGAGACAATTTTAGGACAAAAATGTTGTTCCATGATGACCCCTGAACAAAATCATTGAACCCCTGAAATATTACTCTGAATTGTACTCTCTCAAAATCACATTGATTGCTTTTGTAATTATTGTCTCGCATGTGATAAGGAGAATGACTTTCAGTATTTCCTGTCACACATTCATATTTTAGACATGTATATATTTATACATATCTAAAATATTTGCGGTATTTCCATTTTAAGTTGCATTACCATGGAGACTCAGTGAGGAAGTGTCTTTAATTTCTGCATTGTACAGGAAGTGAGGCAGGCCTTGTGGTTAACTTAGGGGCTGAGCACCTCCCTGTCAGGAAGAACTTTTTTTTTTTTTTTACTCACTTTTTGCTCTTGTGTCAAATGTAAGAAATACACTAATGTGCACAGTTCCTTTGTTTTTCCTTACGATTTATAAAGCACTGGTATTGATTTGACTAGTTTTATATAGTATTATTGAGAACCTGTTTTTTCGAGTATTTCTCTCAGATGGAGTTTTCTGTCATTCGAAAATCCCCCTTTTGTTTTTTCTTTACCTGTGGTTAGCTATTTAAGAAATTCCAATGATGATTCATTGGTTGTCGATATTTAATTTAGGCCTTTAAATGATTATTTTAGGCATTACTGTAATGTGGACAAATATGGATATCTGTAAACTTTGTAATATTTATACATAGCTAGCTACTGACTTATCTGATTACTACTGTTCTAAAACCTTTGTAATTGCATAAAATACCTTACAATAAACGGAATTGCACAGCATCACATAAAATGTATATTTTTAAAGGTCTATAATTGTTTAATGTATAAAAGTGGGATAAACAGACATACATTTTGGCTTCATTTAGTCATGCGTCTTAACTTTCAGCTCTCTAATGTCCTAATTCTAAAATTAAATACATTAAGATTCTTCAGTGCAGAATTTTAATAGCATGACATTTGTAATACTGTAAACATGTTAATTTGGATTTGTTTCACAGCTGATTGGTATCACAACCTCCCCTTGCATGCTGTGTATCCTTTCTTGTCTGTCTGTCTCTTGTTTGCTCCTGGTGTTTATAGTTGTGAGTGGGTTTTGCAAGAATAGAACAGATCCTAGATTAGCAGCATAAACTCAGACTATGTGAAAGATTTAGTCCTTGACAGAAGTCTATGATCCACACTCCCCCACAGGAAGATGGTGGGCTTTCGGAAATACCATCCTCATTCATCCTCTTAAGATAAGATAGTGATCTATAATGTCTTACAGCTTATTTGATTGAATATACTATTAAACTACATTGTAAAGTTTAAAAGGCCAAACTGTGTGTTATGTCTTGATACATCATTTGCACTGATGCATCATGGTGAGTTAAGCTCAGTTAAGGTTTTACTGTGGCTACTGTCAGGGCCTGTGCATGGTATCTCATGAAGATGTGAAAAGGACTTATGTTTAAAGATATTCAATTCCCCCACGTGAACATAAATAGTCGCATGTCTTGAACAGGATGACATGCTTACGCCTGCAGACCACAGTTGTCACTGACTTCACTTCCCACAGCCTCAGATCATGCAAAGACCCAAACGTAGGCCACACCCACTGCACATTTGTCTCCTCTAATGTTACCGGCTTCGAGAGGTCGACAGTCAATGCTCGGTTTCTGTACCTTTCTCATCACCTTCCACTGTCGTCTCCATCCATTTGTCCTTTAGATAGACTCCAGCAGGGATGGCGGAGCTGGAGGGCTTGGAGTTCGGAAAGTCAGACTTTGTGCTTCTAGACGAGGTCACTATGGAGCAGTTTATGGAGAATTTGAAGTTAAGGTAAGAGTGAACAGTTTTTACACTAAGTTGTGGTGTGTAAAGAGACTCAATGGACATTACAACCTGTGTTACCAGGAACCTGATAAGATAACAGTAAACAAGGCCTTGAAATATTGGGGTTGACATTGAGTGTTTTAAGCGTTAACTCATTTTGGGAGCTCTGGAGCTGTGTTAAAGTTACAGTATGTTTATTTCACTGTGAGTACTTCACAATTGAAGTCTTTTTGTACGGTTTTAGTGTCTTTGGTTTTGACCACTCCCTTCTTGGTAGTTTTAGAAGAAAAAAACTGCAGAGGAAAGATTGTGTCATGCTACTTTTGACGTTCCCGCTCATTGCTGAGATATCAAGTCGCTAACATCAACGGCTTAAGAGACATAGAATATCATATATCTTTGAATATCATGTCTTACAACAGCTGATTATGACTATCCAGTTGAATCTTAGCAGTTCTGATGATGAAATGAAAAGTTTCTAGTTCTCCTTTCCTTTAACATGCAGCATTTACTCCATCTGTGATCTGTGATGTCATTGGGTAGAATCAGATGACCTTTTCACAAGACTCTGTATGAGTGTGATGTTGCACACTTGTTTTGTCTGTCACAGATTCTTATACCTCTGAAACACTAGGGGAAAAAAACGTGTCCTTTTGTGAGTTTCATCAGCTTTATTTAACTCTACCACAAAAACTCACAACGAAATACTAATACGTTCATAACGTGCGGAGAAATTGAACCAATTGAGTCTATAGGTATTACACTACTTTGTCTGAACTATTTGATTTTTGTGTTGAATATGCTTGTTTAATAGTATTTATAAGCTATTTTAACTACGAACAGATATCCATGTATTTTAGCTGTTGATATGCTTACTTGACCAAGATTGCACCATATTTTTTGTTTCAAATTCAGAAAGTGAGTCATCTTGAGCCCCATTGAACTTCCTGTTCTCACTTCCCAGCCCTGTATCACTTCCTGCTGAATATGGGCGTGCATTACATTGAGAAACATACATCAAGTTATGACTGTTGTTTCCCCTCATCACTAGGAGAATTGTATTATGGTGAAGAAGGTTATAAAATGAGATGTGGTTTCTGATGTTTTAATATGTTAATCCTGACACAGAAACTGTCACAATTATTGATTAATTGTCTTATGAAGGTTAATCTACATAGAATTACATAATCACGATTATGACACGGTTAAGAAATGCCATCAAATGTCATAATCTGGGAGGAAGTAAAGAATAATATATTATATTTATTATATAATATTTTTAATTTTCACAGCATTAAAGTTCATCAGGTGGGCATATTTTATTTTTATATCATATTTATTATATCATATTTTATATTTATATTTTTATATAAGGCATATATCAAACTTATATAATTTTAAGAAGACTCTAAAACAGATTACAATTAATAGTATTACATCCGTTAATTTGGTACTGATATCATCAAATGCTGTATGAGTGTGTGTATATGTGGATAAATGTATACATGTGGTAATGTTTATATGAATGTTATATTTATGTGTGTTATATTTGTGTATTTTAATTGTACATAAGTTTCAGTACTTTTATGGGCCCCAGGAAGACTAGCAACCACATTGTGGAAGCTAATGGGGATCCAAATAAATAAAATAAATAAATAAAATATCATATGTTATTCCAAGTTTAAAAAAATGTACTTACACTGTAAGGGACATGAAGAAAAAAGACATTCATCAATGTATGTTTTTCTTAAACCTCTTGATATTATTTATGATTAATTGAATGAATCCCAGCTCACTGTACAGTAATACTCAACGCATTTATCGTTTGTTCTTTAATTTGTCTGTTCGTACACCAGGAACTGAACCAAACCAAATGATGCTAACAATGAGTCTTGTTAAATCTATTTCTGACTGCTCTATTTCACAGTATTGTTTGTTGTTTTCAGGTTTGAGAAGGGCCGTATCTACACTTTCATTGGAGAAGTAGTGGTGTCAGTCAATCCGTACAAACAGTTAGATATCTATGGGAAGGGGGTCATTGAGGACTACCGGGGCAGAGAACTGTACGAGAACCCACCTCACCTGTTCGCTGTCGCAGATGCCGCTTATAAAGCCATGAAGAGACGAGCCAAAGACACGTGTATCGTCATTTCAGGTACAGCAGCTATTAAACACACTCGCTGCTGAATAAAACAACAGACACTGGTGTTATGAACATTCCTCAAAGACACAGGCCAGAGGTCATTCATCCTTTTCAAAATGTTACCATGATCAAAATAGATAAACAGGAGAAAATAGACCCAACTAAATGCACAGTGAAACTATCTAATATTTAACCCTGGAAAATATAAAATCTAACATAAAATAACCCTGCTGAAAAATCATAAGTTATATTTTGCATACTGGGACCAGTATGGGATGCTGGTTTCTGGTTTGGTCACCACATGGGAAGCAAAAGTGCCGGTGGATGGTTCACCAACACTATACCAGCTCTAACCAGCATAGCAGTCTTGTCATCGAGGGTTCTCAAGTCTCACGCATTGGCCGTGAGATATGCAATTCAACCAGTTCACACGCTCATTTGTCAACCAAGTTGGCCTGTAAGCTTTTACCAGAGAAATGTGGGCGCAGTCATCTTTAGAATATTGTCTTTGAACTTCCGAAAAGAAGTTCAAGAATAACACGAATAAATAAAAATAACAAGAATAAATCTGATAAACAAAGACTTAACTGTATGGATTAACTGTTTCATCCAAATCTCCTTGTGTTACAGGTGAGAGTGGAGCAGGCAAGACTGAGGCGAGCAAGTACATTATGCAGTACATTGCAGCTATCACCAACCCTAACCAGAGGGCAGAGGTCGAGAGGTCAGTTTCCTGGAAACATTGACAGAGCTAGATTATCAGGGCGCTTTTCCCGTGCCAACAATGATTGCAAGTTATGTCGTTAACAACATAATTCAACGGAACTTGAGACCAGTTGGCAAACAATGCTTTTGGGAAACACACCCCAGAATAGGTTTTGCATTTAATTAAAAAAAAAAAGTTGTATTGCTTTAATTACCTATTCAGATTTGTATGACAGATTATTTGAAGAAATAAAAGGCTTTACTAATGTTCATGTTTACAGGCTATTTTTTGGAAAGAAAAATATTTCTTATTATTGTACTCTTATGTGCACTGACAAACAATCAGACTTTTTTATATATAAATGATTTTTGCATTTTACTGTACTTGCATCCCACCACAGTGTGAAGAATGTGCTCCTGAAATCAAACTGTGTGTTAGAGGCCTTTGGAAATGCAAAGACCAACCGCAATGACAACTCCAGCCGCTTTGGGAAATACATGGACATCAACTTCAACTTTAACGGAGACCCCACAGGAGGACACATCAACAACTACCTGCTGGAGAAGGTAAGAACACATCAGTATTGTATAGATACAAAATAAAGCTCATCATGAAAAGTACATCTGAATATGGAAATTTGACATTGACACTTAAAATAATAAAGGATAAATGGTTAGTTTTGAATGTGGTGATTTTATACAAATAAAATAAAAATCAGCTAGGCCTTGCAAATATTGGTGAATTTACTAACTTATGTGCAGCAGGGCTGTGTTATAATGTGCAGATTCATTATTGTTTACCTTTGCCTGGTTTATTCATCCTGATTATGAGCCAACAATATTTATTTAAACGTATTAAACAGAAGTTTTGATAGTATTTTCTTCCCCATTGTGATGCATATCTGAGTAAATAAAAACGTTTTTATCGATATTCAAACCGAACCGAAAAAACATGCACGTATCGCGATTCTCCTTCTCATGCGCGCCCCCTCTCTACCGTCACCCTAGGTCCGTTGACCTCACTTTATGACTTTATGAAATATTTTTCTTAATTAAATAGTGATTAGGGTGTAACGTTAGCTACACGTATTTGTCGCGCGATTTTTTTGTGACTGTTCAAGA